ATTCTCAGCACCTGTATCAGTTGGCTCAGCAACTACCTATAACTACAGCTCCAAGGGACCTAATGCCTTCTTCTAGTCTCTTTGGACATTGCATTCATGTACACAAGTATAGACTGTGTATAGAAACAAAAAGGAAGGAGGAAGGAGGGAAGGAGGGAGGGAGGGAAGGAGGGAGGGAGGGAAGGAGGGAGGGAGGGAGAAACAAAGAAGGAATCCAATCACAGAATAGAGCATTCTCTGTTACACATCTCTCACAGGCCTTACTTCCATGCTAAGCTTAAGTAGAATTAAAAATACAGCATCAAAATTTGGTCATGGCTTAAACTAACTTCAATTAAAATTACTTCAATCAGAACTAAGTTTGAGATGATAAAATCTAGGAAGACAACCACAGCAAGAACCATTACACAAAATACTTCTTATTTTTCACCAGCATACCATAATTAATAATTTATTCTTTCCTAGGGACAGGAGGATGAAGTTCCTTGCATATAGTAGTATAGTAGATTCTATATGTAAAGAACCTTTTCTTCATAATTTTATACATTATTTCTTTTTATAATTTATTATAAGAAGTTAACATGTAAATTTCATACTAAAGACTAATTTTGAATTCTGGGCACCTTCCCTCATTTTCCTGTTTCTAACTTTAGTACATTCCACAACTTCTTTGCCTCTGTATGATAACTAAGAGACTAACACAGATTAATCTCAACTAAATCAATATAACTACCTAAAAGATACTGTGGTTTTTTTCTTCTAAATTCTGTTTTGAAATAAGTCAGAGAAAAAGGAAGATCACTGAGCATGTTAAGAGAAAGGAGGGAGGTCCAAAGACATCACAGGTATAATCCTAGAAGTATTTGCTTGGGCAGGACAAGACTCCAGGACAGCAAAGGGCATGGTGGAGGTAGTACCAGAAGCTGGTATTTGTAGCCAACAGCAGGTTTTAAGTCATCCAACCGTCAGGCTACAGAAAAATCTATAGCCACATCTAACTCTACAGTAATTCAACAACCAAATTTATCCACAAAGTAAAGGTGCAGAAGAATGTCAGTCTGCTACCATTTCTACTGCATGGATAAAAAATCCCCCTAAAAAGGACACAACTACTACGCAGCAGTAGTCACACGTGTAAAAGGAGTAGTGGGACACTTACTTTTTGCTCTATAAACTGTATCCATAATATCACAATATCATTTCCTCCTCCCGCCAAAAAATTTTACTTAAACTGTTTTACACATCAGTTAGAAATAGCAGAGGTCAGAAAGAAATTTTAATTTAAAGCCAAGACAATAGTGCAAAGCTGACACAAACACTGAAATCTAAGACAATGAGAATGGGTTAAAACTGTCAAGCAGTCAGCGTAGCAAACATGAGCTGATGAAATGAGTCAACTCCTTCCCCAGACCCAGAGGCCTTTATGAGTATCCAGCTTGGGTAGGAATTAGTATCAGCTCAGACAGCCCAGTGTAGAAGGAAGAAAGTTAGATCTCAAAGATGACACAGTAGTTGAACAACTATCTGAGCTTGAAGATGAAAGCAGATCCTACAGAAAACACTACTATCCAACCTGACTTTGCCTCTGTCTCTTGCTAAGAAGACTCATGGGCTTCACAGTGGTACTGCCAAGTATCTATCAGACACACAGTGCTACTAGGATAGGTTTTTCAATGCAAAGTGTGTGACCTAGTTACAGTGGAAAGAGGCTGGAAAGAGATGAGTCACTGAGGCTGTGATATAGAAGACTGGGTCAGGGAGGACCTGAGTCCTGGGTTAGAATGGACATTAAACCCCTAAGTCATGTGACCCATTCTCCTAAGGTTTACCTTAGCCTGAAATATCTTTGTACGACAAAGAGCTACTTCAGTAGACTTTAGATTTGCTAGATATGTGAGAAATTATGGTCTTGAGAAAATTAAAGTTTCTGATTTGTAGGACACAATAATGAATGTGTCTAATGATTCTCTTTTAATCCAAAGTTAGTTTCTCTGCACAACTTTGCACATTTCTACATCACCATTAATTTAAATTATAGTATTTCCAGAACATACATACATATATACATATGTACCTCTAGGCTAATGTGCTGGGGAGAATTTTTAAAGGAACACTTTTGGCTAGTTTTACATCAACTTGACACAAGTTAGTCATTTGCGAAAAAGAGAACTTCAACTGAGAAACTGCCCCTACTAGATTGGTCTGTAGGCGTCTCCATGGGCATTGTTTTGATTGATGATTGATATAAAAGGGCCCAGCCTATTGTGGATGGGCCACCTCTGGGCAAGTGGTCCTAGATGCTATAAGAAAGAAGGCTGAGTAAGCCACGAGGAGCAAGCCAGTAAGCAGCACCCCTCCATGTCTTTTGCATCAGCTCCTGCCTCCAGGTTCCTGCCCTGACTTCCTTCAATGATGGACTATAATATGAAGATATAAGATGAAATAAACTCTTTCCTGATGAAGACACTTTTCATTATAGTATTTTATCACAACAATAAAATCCCTAACTAAAGCAAACACATTTCAAAAGATAAACAGCTGAGGAATGGGCTGTTTCAGATTACCAATCTCACTACGTCAATCTTTATCTGTTTTACATAGTATGAACTGCCAAACCCAGAGAATCAATGACTATAGTGCATAAGAAAATTCATCTTTAGATATTTTCCTTCTGTAGTGGTTTGAATGAAAATGGCCCCTATAGGCTCATATACTTGGACACTTAGTCACCATGGAGTAGCACTATTTGAAAGGATTAGAAAGATTAGGAAGTACAGCCTTGTTGGAGGAGGTTTGGCCTTGTTGGAGAAAATTCCTAACTGAAGGTAGGGCTCTGAGGTTTCAAAAGTACACCCCAGGCCCAGCTGTCTGTGTCTTGTTTTGTCTCTTTGTCTACCATCCATCAATCCCTTCCCAACCCCTCTCTCTCTCTGCCTGTGGACCAGGATGTAGTTCTCAACTACTGCTCCAGTGTTATGCATACCACAGTTCTCCCCGCCATGATAATGGACTAAACTTCTGAAACTATAAGTGACCCCAGTAAAATCTTACTTTTTAAGAGTTGTTGTAGTGTCTCTTTACAGGCAAGAGAACATCTCCCAAAATTTAAAGAACACACAAGCTTTCTATACATAACATTCTGAAAAGCATTTTATAAGATAAATCACTTATGATGTAATCAATTCTAACATAATAGAATAATACTGTAATAAACTAAAGCAGTATAACATAACCTTAACTCTAAATTATGAATTCTTTTTTTTTTAAAAAAACCTGTTTCTCATTCCAAAGAATGAAAAAAAAATATGCATTTTAAAGTTGCTAAAACAAACAGTAATAAATACTATTCTCTAATACAAGAAATATAAATTGCTCCTAACAAGTGAAAGTTATATTCATCATAGGAGACTTTAACTTGCAGATTATTCTGTTAGTCAAGGTTCAGTCTCAAATAATGAAAGTTAGGTAGACACCTAGCATAAAGATAGGCCTATAACAGGCACTGAAACACTTACTGTAGTAAAGACAACAGACATAAAAGCCAAGTCTAAGTCTACAAAATGGTTTTTGCAGGTCAGAGAACAAAATTAATCTGAGGATACCTTTTTTCTTTTAATTATAAAGCAAATGTCTATTTCTCCCTCTACACTTTTTTTCTTTAAAAACAATTTATGTATTTTATATGTATGACTGATGTGTGTGCATAAGTATATGCAAATATACATACATATATGTCAAATGCATATATATGCATATATTTTCTCAGTCACTAAGGACATGAGAAAAGGGTGTTGGATTCCCTGGAACTGGAGTTATAGGCAACTGTAAGCTGCTATGTGGATACAGAGAACTAAACTTGGGTCTTCTAGAAGGGTAATAGGGATTCTTAACCACTGAACCAACTCTCCAGTCCCTCCTCTGTAAAATTGTAAAACAAATGCTTCAAAAAACTTCATCCACAGCTTTATATAATCATGCTTTCCTTTAGACCTCAGAAATTTTTCATTAAGATAGTAGCTTTAAAATAGCTTTAAAATGACAAGATCCTACTATCCATTAATCATGTGCCCATTCATTGTATTTATTTGCTTATTGATGTTTGACTAAACAGTAATGTCAGAACATAAATCTATTAAAAAATGGATAAAGGAGTTGTAAGAGCTACAGCAATCTATGATCTCACTGTTAACACAGGAGCCTTAACTTCTCACTGCTTATATGTAATGAGTAATACCTATTTCAAAGCACTGAACTGTAACTGTGCAAATATAATAAATATATAGCCAATTCCTATAATTTCTCCAAGAAATAGAAGCTTGGGTTTGGACAGGTGGCTCAGAGGTTAAGAGCACTGGCTGCTCTTCCAGGGGACCCAGATTCAATTCTGGAACACTGACACAGAGGGCCATAACTGTTTGTAACTGCACCCCAAGGTATCCAATGCCCTCGTCCAGCTTCTCTGGGCACCAGACATGCATGTGGTATATAGACAAACAGGCAGTCAAAACATTCAGACATGTAAAATAAAATAAAAATGATTTTTTAAAAAGAAACAAAAGCTTAATAAATATATCTGAAGACATCAGGATTAGACATGTCTTTTTTCTACCCTGTACTCTACTGAAGACATTGACAATTCCAGAATTTGGCAGGAGGTGAGCCTCAAAAACAGAAATGATAAGAAAATTAACACAGAATGATATCACACATATTTTAATATAATTTACACCAAAGTTTAGAAAGAACTAGAATAATTGAATCTTAAGAAGTAACAGCATTTTATATTAAAATATACCAGATTGATCTAAACTACAGAAAAAAACTAAATTAATATTTAGTAGGTAGTATTGAAAAATAATTTCTAGACCAAGTCAATGTTTACTCATTTGTCTTAAAAATATGACAATTCAAACTATTCTATAAAGAAAACCAATATACAGGACTTCTACAAAGTTTTTAATTACTGTGATTTCCGAAAAATATAACTAAAATTTTCATACCTGATCGAAAGCACTCAATTATTTGCTGAATACCAGATTTGGATGTCTGTACTGGTTGCTGTAATAAAGGAGGATCTCCAGGCTCCAGGATATAAACTACATGGAAGACAAACACACAACCCAACCCACACACAAAAAAACAGGGTTATTTAAAACACTTACTATTGAATCAAACAGTAGTTTGCTACAATTATGTTAATAATGAGAATATCTCCATATATATTCATGTATGTAAAATTCACCATCTTTATAAGACAAACGAAGCAATAGAGGGAAGACCTCAATCATCCCCAATATTAAAGACTCAATCAAGGCTAGTTAGTAGGTCTAACAGCAAATACTTACTGCTTTGGTATCATTCATTATATACTGCTTGCCTCTTTAGTTTCCCTTAGGTAGGAACTACATTTTAAAAAAAAAACAAAACTCTTAGCTATACCCAGTTAACCCTTCCAAAAGCCTTAAAAATAATCTGATCAAGCACCCTTGCTAATCATGAGAATAAAACTCAAACCCAACTTCCGAAGAAAGAAAACAGACAAGTATACAAGGCATACAAGACTTTCACTGAAGTACTCTGTAGTACTATATTCAACTGAGAAAAATTTCAAATTTCAAAGTCTCTTTATAGGGACCAAACAGGGTATAGACCATGACCTATTTACATTAATTACATTAATACACATTATACAGATATAATTGATATGGCTGTGTATAGATGATAAGAGAAAATTATCTTGGCAGGATACCAACAGAATTGAAAGATTCTGTCAGAGTAGGTTATCAATTTTTAAAAACAAAAATTTTCACTTTCATATCACCTCCTCCCCTTTGCAAAATTCTCAGATGAGTGAAAAGGTGATTAGATCATGTGACACAAAGTAGCTGAAAGGACAACTGTATTTCTATGAGCTCTCTCTCAAATAGCAAGATGTAGCAAAGAAAAACTAACCATTTAACCCTTTAAAAAAAAAAAAAGAACATAATGTCCTACCTAATTAATGGCATCATATGCCAGGGTCATTTCTCTTGGTGTGGGGTTTGGGGGAGCAAGTTTCCTTCAATTGGATGTGCTCCTACTGCTCTGCACCTTAGACCTGGATAGCAATTCCATTTTGGACAGAATAGCTGAGGCAGTTGTGCTGTGCATACAGATGCAGCCTTAGAGTCTCCTTCCTACCAAGTGCTCAGTGCACACGAATAGGAGGAACTTTATCTCAATACCTTATCATTCTATCAAACAAAAGTTTAAGAAACACTCTAGGTACATAAGCGGAATATACAGACAACTAAGTTTAAGAATTGACAAAAACTGCAGTAATAAAGAATGTAAGATTCCCAGATGCAAACTCCCTGCATGTCAATTGTGTGGCTGTTCACTGGGGTATAACTAAGACAACTAAATGCTCAGATCTCATCCTCTTCTCTTATGGAGCTAACAAGTTTCCAAAAAAACAAAAACAAAAACTTTGTAACTATTAAGATATGATAAAAACTAATCAAAACACAGCCTGGGATATACCAAGTGCTCAGTAAACATCCTGGCAGTACCAGTATTATCATGAACAAACAACTGCTCTCCTGACACCAAAAACAGTCTTTTTTACAAAAATGTAAGTCAAAGTCAACCTGTAAGAAAAATAACAGCAGTGGTTTATTAGCAGTCTGTTTGGGGTCAGTCAGAAAGAGCTCTTTTCAGTAGCTATACATGATAGCAATTGATAACTATAAAATATAGTTAGCTGCGAAGACTGGAAATATCTACTAACTGTAAAGAACTAAGAACTGGCTTTACAGAAGGCAAGAAGTAGAGAATTAGAGATAAAAAGAAGAAAGAAAAATACAAACAGTAAGAGAGAGCTATGGGGAGAAACTTTGTCCAAGAGTTCCTCCTTCAGGTATATACTCCAAAAACCTTTCTGTAATATAGCAACTTCAACTTCCACATAAGAATACCCAACCTCAGAGCTAGAGCAGTTTCTTACCTACCATCCTCAGAACCTTCCACTAGAGTACATGTACTTGTATACACACATATTCTCTCTCTCTCTCTCTCTCTCTCTCTCTCTCTCTCTCTCTCTCTCTCTCTCTCTCTCTCTCTTGTAAATACATATATACATATCTGTAATTTTCTAAACTGTCCTCTTATACAGCCTGCCATCTGTTCCAAGATCAAATGATCAGATCCATCCAGGTTACAAATGTTTTAAACAATTATCTCCCCAACTAAAAACATCCAAACCCTCAGAACAGTTTACTTTACTCTCTTACAAGAGCAGTTGGAGTTGGAGTTCCAAGAGTCAAACAGAAGTTGGAGAGCAGAAAAGGGAATTGTTGGAGAAAGGGAGAAGATAATGGAAAACAGATTTTCCATGGAATGATAAATGATGGATCTGCAAGATGGTTACATCAGATTCTTGTTTTTTGAACTTCTGAAAACTACTATTTAAAAGAAGTTGTTAAAACAAGAATATGCATATAGTGATAAGACTTCTAATAACACTCCTCATTATAAATTGACTATCAAGACATATTGGTCTCTTCAGGAACAGTCTCATCTCAAGCCTCACCCTCTGTCCATAATCCAAATGATGGTGCATCCTCATGCATCCATCTGAGGACAGCTCAATGACTATCACACCATACTTCTTCCAGACCAGGAAATGCCCTCCCGCTCAGCACATCCCTTCCCTGCAATGATGACACTAACCTAAAAGTCATCACGTGTCTAGCTTTCCACTGAAATAAACACTCCAAAGCATTTAGTTCTAAGGAAGCATTTATTAATAAGCAATAATTTTTTGATTTTAAATTGTTGATACTTAAAGATTTCTTGTTAAATAAAAAAATTCAATCCATATTTAAAATTTAAAATCCAGAAAGGATCTTTAAAGGCATTAAAAGTCTCTTAAATACTTAATTACCGACATGTACCATAAATCATGTTCAGAAATTACATTATTTGTTTAAATCCATGTCTTCCCACTCAAAAACTATATGAAGAAAACACTGTCTTTTTCACCATTTATATCTCTATTGCCTTGGGCAAGACCTAGCACCTAAGAGATGCTCAATAATGATTTGTTAAAAAAATGAATAAGCAAACTAAAGACCATTCAACTCCATACTATGTGAGAAACAGACAGAAGGTGCACTATAAAGGCTGCTGAAGTTAGGCAAGTCAGGAGATGAGTGAAAGTGAGGTCCCATCCTAGAGGCATCTGTTTTATTAGGTTAAAATTGATCCAGCCAAACCCAACAGACATAAAGCTGGAGTCAAATGGTTATTGTCACTGCAAAGGAGATTTTTCTCCTTTAAAAAAAAGTAATTTCAAATACAGTTATGATAAAAAAATCTAAATACATGGCTGTAATTAAAATATTTCAATTAAAAGCAAACCAAAGTAGGGGGAAAAAAGTTACCAACCCTGGTAACTTTAAAGTAAAAAGTGATAAACACTTGTCTTTGAACTAAAATCAAAAAATCTTTTTTGTAGTTGACAGTATGATTTCAATGATTCCCTTTTATGATAAGGCCAAAGTTCTAACAACCCTCAATAGTTTACAAGTACAATGTCTATCAAATTAAAATTCACTAATAAATTCATGAGACTCAAAAAAGTTTTAATATCATAAATTTAACAGAACCTGTTCAACATAATAAAATATCTTAAATATTTTAAGTATTCTAAGCAACCTGCAATACAATAAATTCTATCTAAAACATTTAAAATGTTTTTTTAAATTCAAAAAGCCCAATTTTCTCTACATATTCAATCAACCTTCTTGACCCAAATTAAACTTTTGGCTTTGTTCATTTGTTTGTTTGGGGGAGTGGTAAACATTTTCCTATGGTTTAAAACACTTCATGGGAAACTTATTTTAATGATAATTTTCTTAAAGATAAATGGTAGTATTCCACCACCTATCTTATCTTTGCCTTTTTCGTCCGTTTTAAACATTCAGAGCATGGAGTACACCACTAACAAAGCTGCCTTGAAAAAGAAGGGAAAGGAGCTGACCGATCTTGTGGAAATGATTGACGGTGACACTTGTGGCACTTTCTCTAGGGGATCAAGCAAGGGCGATCTCTAGTTTGTACAGGCTTTTGGCATTACGCGAGTAGTTTTACACTGGGGAAACTGAGTTACTCAGGAAAGACTTCTTAGAGACAACAGAAGGCAGAGTAGCTCTGGTGGAAGAGAGCAAGGACACTGGGAAAAAGAAAAAAAAAAAACGGACTTACCTGGTTCGCAGCATCCGTGATGATGGTGGTCGGTTTGACAGTATTTGTCCCTCAAAGGCATTTTTAATGGGTGCGACCTATTTTCCTTTTACTGTGAGAAGCTCTTCATTGCGGCTTGGCTGTGGACAGAAGCACAAACTCATCACTATCCCTGAACTTCTGGGGAAGCTGTGGCTGCAGTCTCCACAGACCAGCCCACCATGCGCTCTCCGCTCTCTCACCCCGGGCCCGCACCTTCCGCTCAGGGAAAGAAACCGACGCTCCGCCGGCCTCTAGCCCCACGTCCCCGCACAGGTTCACCGCCCTACCCGGAAACGCAGTGTCCGGCGCGCAGCGCAGCGCGGCGCACGGCGAAGGCCTGGCGGGCTGCGCAGGCGGCTGCGGCCTCGCCGTGCTGGGCGGGCGGGCGCGCGGAGAGCCGGGCGCGGGACGCGGGGTGCGACGGGGGCCCCCTGCGCGGCCGAGGAGCAGCTCGCGCCCTCCCGCCACGCACGTGCGTCGGGGGGTCTCCCCGGAGCAGGTCGGGTCCGCGCCGCCAAGTGCGCCCAACTTACTCAACTCCCGGAGCGGCCGAGCGGCCGCGGCACCAGCCGGGCGCACGACGCGGTGGAGGGCCCCACCTGGCGCAGCCCCGGCGCACCGCGTGAAGCCGAGCGGGCTGCGGCCCGGCGCGCTCCCAAAGAGTCCCCGGCGGCGCCGACGCGGAAGCGCCACAGCTCACCACGTCCTCGGGCCGCGGCGGCGGTAGTGGCGGCGGCGGCGGCTCACGGCAGCCCTCCGCGCTCCGGTTCGGCGAGCTGGCGGCGCGCGGGCGCAGGCAGTTGACAGGAGGAACCGCCGGGCGCAGCAGCCGAAGGAGCTGGAACCGGAGCGGGCAGGACTGAGGCGCCCCTCGCCAGGGCAACGGCCGCGCCGAGCCCGGCTCCCCTCAGCGCCGCTCCACCTGCAACGGTCCCCCGGGCTTTGGAGAGGGGCGGGGAGCCGCGCGGGTCCCCCACCTGGGGCCTTTCGGGTAGCAGATGCTTCGGGAAACTTTATGGAAGTCAGTCCCGTTCTCTCTTGGCCGCCCCTTCCCTGGACAGCCCGAGCGACCGCCGTGGAGAGGGTAGGAAGGGGGAAGCAGCGAAGTCTCCGGCTGCGACAGGGAGCGACTGACTGACCCCGGACGGAGATGGGGCGAGGGCAGGAAGTGACAAGCTCACGGAGTGGGTGGGGGGAGTGTGGCCGGCACGCCCGGCAGCGCGGCGCGCATGCGCTGGGCGGGCAGCCCCGGTGGGGAGGCGACGCGCGGGGCCGGCCTCGGGGGGGGAGGGAGACTGCGGGGCTGGCGGCGCTCAGGGCGGCGGGGTAGCTGGCGGGCCCTCGCCGGCGCGCGCTCCGTGCGTCCTCCCGCCGGCGGCTGCGGAGCGCCTGCGGGAGGCTGCGTGCGCCCGGAGGTGTGAGAACCGCGGGCGCGTCCTCCCCCGGGCCCGCGCCGCTCGCTCGGGCACCAAACTGTTGCTCGCGCTGCTGCGCTTGGGCGGACCCGAACCGGGGAGGGTTGGGGAGGCGAAGGAGAAAAGTAGGGAGTGTGAGCCCCGACGTGGACTAGATCGGGGAACGCTGTCAGGTGCTGGCTCCTCAGCTGTTGTCAAAGTGCACCTCCTGGAACTTGGGAAAGGAGAGCCTTCAGCGGACTCTGAGGAGAAAAGCGATTGGCAGGCAATTGCAACGTTCTGATGGTGCAAACCTGGAAGTGAAGTGGGGCCACATGGCTAGCACGCACTTTCCCTCTTTGGCACCAGCATCCTGCTTGGAGAAAATCCCCGAAGATCGAAGATGGTCATCTTCTGTCAAATCTGCAAACCCTGAGCTGCTTCTCATATCCAGTAGCTGCTGCCTCCACCTTCTTCCCAATTCTAGGAAGGAATCCTTGCCCTTGGTAACTTCGCTCAAATAGGTGTCCGCTATTGGTCAGAGTATTTTCAGAGCGCCCATTCGACCTGTTTATCTTCTCAAGATTAATGAAAACCACAATTATCTAACTTAAGCTTCCAGTTTTGAAGCTTCTGAAAAAGTAAAGTTTAAGAAGATAGGCGCTATGTGTTTGGTATTTTGTTTTTTTAGAAGGTCTTGCTATGTAGCTCAGGCTTGCCTGTAACTAGCTGAATAGCCCAGGATGACCTTGAAATAGATTCTCCTGTCTCTATGCACTTTTCTTCTCAAAGCTGGGGTTACAGGCTGGCACCACACTCAGCTCTGTTTAAAGAGAAAATCACCAAAATCAATTTTCAAAATTCCAAAGAAAGTTTATAAGCAAATGGAGTTGTTACTGTAGGACCGTTAAATGGAATACTTGGATAGGTCTGGTACAGTTGGGGCAGAATAGAATAAGTGAACTACAGCCGCATATGATATTATGATCTTGTCTTCTGTTCCATTGTCAAGAATTACTACCCACATGAAGCAAATGCAGATTATAGGTCAATATGCTACAAATTGCTACTTCTTTGTGGTGGTAGTATGCAGCCAATAGAAATCATATTTGTGGTTTGGAAAGATGGCATTGTCAATTAAGTCTGATCAAGAAGACCTGAGTTTGGTGGCCAACTGATGCAATTCCAGTGCTAGGGAGACCAAGACAGAAGAATCTTGAGGCTTGCCGGCTACCTGGCACAACCAAACGGATGAGGTCCAGGCTCAGTGAGAGACCCTGTCTCAAAAAGTAAATTGGAGAGCAATTGAAGAAGACATACGACATGGACCTTTAACCTATCCACACACACAAGATTATCTTGTGTACTGTTAGCTATGTGGAATATGCTTAAACCAAAAAGATATATTTTTGAAATGTGAGAGATGCTGAACTTCAAATTGTAGATGCTTTTGTCTGAATGAAGGATATGTGATTTTAATAAAAAGTTAACAGTCTCTATAATTTCTCTTCCAGTGTTCTGTAAATAAAATAAAGTTCCACTCTTTAAAATGACTATTTTATCTGAAATGGTATAAAATGATGCCACACAAAAAATATGATACAAAAATACAAACCACTCAAAACTGCAATGAAAAAACTGAAAGGAGAGAAAACTATCAATGTTGGTGATAGCTGAGTGAGTTTTTAAGTAAAATATTTTTGTCTCAACGGATATTTTCCTTAATTTGACACAATGAGTATATTACATGTATAAAAATAAATACTAAAATTTTATAAGACAGGAAGAATTACTTGTGAGAATTTAAATGTTTTCTTGCCAGGTGTTACTTTTAAAACTTTTTAATGGAGGGTGGAGATATGGCTCAATAGTTAAGAGCACTTACTGCTCCTGCAGAGGATCTAGGTTCGGTTCCCAGCACCCATATGTTGACTCACAGCTGCAACTCCAATTCATGAGAATCCAACCCCTTTCTGATTCCCAGCGGCACCAGGCACAAGTGGTGCACTTACAAACATGAGAGAAAACACTCCTATGCATATAGATGTTATTAAGTAAGTAGAATTGCTTTGTAAGTGCAGTGTTACAAATAATGGATCATTACCAGAAGGTCCTCAGAATTGCAAACATTAAATTGTAAATAATCTGAAAAGCACAGACAAAATTGAGATACGAGTAGAACAGATACTAAACACTGAGTCTTAAGAGTTTTAAAGATGAAAATAAACCATGGAAATTACCTAGAAACCTTACTTTATACCGTAGAAAATGGAGACCCAGAAATATCAAATGACTAGTGCTTTCCAAACCTAAAGCTTCATACTATGATGACAGTACCAATACCTAAGGTGCCTTTAGTCCTTGAAATGTGTTTTAACTTCAATGCTATCAGCTACACAATGATGTTTCTGTCTTCCATTCTATATGTGGTAAGACTGAAGTAAAAAAAAAAAAATTGCAGCTGACGGACAGTTGAGCCAACATCTGAAATATTTTAACTAAGAAACTCATGAATTTAGCCATTAGACTGTGTTGACGCTTCTGTGTTGGCCCTCACCATAGCATAGCTGTTTTGGAACAATGACATGGGATGTGAAAGATGAACCAGTGAATCCTGCCAGCTGTGAATGGTATGTTGTGTCAAGATACTCTGTATACAGTGAGCATGGTGATGTCAGGAGGAGTTCAAGGCCATTCTTGTCTACATAGCAATTTGATGCCAGCCTAAACTACATGAGACACTGTCAGAGCAAAACAAAACTAGATGTCTGAACATGAAGTCAAAATGGAGTTGCTAAATCACAAGAACTGAAATTTCATGGTGCTCCAGAACGTAAAGTTTGGATCTCTGCAGTTATCGCCCTATGTTTATAAACAATGTTCCCAAACCTTTCCAGGCAACCTAGGCAACAGGTTAATGTTTGTTGGGGTTTAAATGTGAATTATACCCCACAGATCCATATGTTGAACCCTTTTTCCCAAGCCAGTGACACCATTTTGGAAAGTGTGGAAATGTTGGCATTCAAGGCCTGTCTGGAAGATAACTGGGGACAAGACACTGAAGGTTGTATCTGGTTTCAGGTCCCTTCCTTTTTGTTCTTCCTGGCTGCCATGAGATGAACAGTTCTACCATATGATTTTGCTACAGTGTTGTTCTGATTCCCTTTGGGTCCCCGAGCCACTAAAGCCAAGTTGTGTGAACTGGGACCTCTGAAAACATGAGCCACAGGCTTTCTACTGTTGTGAGTTATATCAGATATTTGGTCACAGCAATGAATGATCTGGCTAATAAATTGTTACAGCCTTGCCTTCTCTGAGATAGAATCTCACTGGCTCAAATTGGTGGTCTTTCTTAAAAGTCTAAAAGTACATCCTATTGAATAGCCCAAATTCTCTTTTATGATTTAGTTACTCTTTCTTATTGGCAGGATTAGAGACTAACATACATTCACACACATAATTATTGCATACCAAGCCACCACTGGAGCATCAAGCCATTGGAGATGCTCTCAGTTTGTAGATCAGTAATTTGGGTTAGTCTTGTCTGAGTCACCAAGTTGCTGCTCATCTGGAAGCTTGACTGAATGCATCATGTACCTGGCAGCAAGTGCTGTCTGATGACTGGAATCCCCTCAGTGTAGCCTTTCATCCTTAAGGTGAGTAGCTTGGACTTCCTCATGCAGTATGAGCATGCCAAGCCAGTCTAGTGAGAGCAGTAGGACCTACAAGTTACATCATATCCATCACATACCTTTAGTCAAAACAGGTCAAAAGTCCAGCATACTATATTAATTACTAATTCTCACAAGCAATGTGTAAGTGTTCACGTTTCCCACATCCTCAATAGCATTTGCTGTTTGTTTAATGATACTCATTCTGATTGGTGAGATGAAGCTTCATTAGTTTTTATTTGTATTACCATGGTGACTGTTTATATTCTTCATATATGGATTGGCCATCTTATTTCTGTTTTTAGAAGTATATTCATTCTGTTTTTCATTAACTGGATTATTTGGGTTTGGGCTTGGGGGGGGTTATTATTTATATATTCTAAACACTAGTCCCTCATCAGATATATAGCTGTAAAGGATTTTTTCTTCAATACCACAGATATCTCCGCTCTGTTCATTGTTTCCTTTGTTGTACAGACCTGTTTTTTTTTTATGCAATCCAGTTGGAATTATTTCCTCGGTTTTTTGATTCCTTCTCAGAAAGGTCTTGTCTATGCCTGTACCTTGAAGTGTTTTCCTCAGGCAGTTTGATAGCTTCAGATCTTTCATCTAAAGATCTTTCTTACATTTGAGTTTATTTTTGTACATAGTGAGAAATAAGGATTTAGTTTCATTCTTCTACGCGTGGATATCCAGTTTTCCCAGGACCATGTATTAAAATCACTATGGAAGTTCCACAAAAACTAAATAATTATCATGTGGTCCACCTATACCATTCCTGGAAATATATACAAAGAGATAAGCCAGCATATTACAGAGAACCTGTTCATCGTGTTTCTCATGATACTGTTCACGATAGCTAAGTTATGAAATCAGCTTAGGTGTCCATCAACAGATGGGTGAAGAAAATGTGGTGCATATATACGATGGAAATGTTATTTACCTTTAAAGAATGAAATGACAGTTGAAGATTAGAGTGGAACTGGAGATCATTACATGAAATAAGCCAGGTTTATACAAATAGCACGTGTTTTCTCAGATGTATGATCTAGATTTAAATATAT